AGCTACTTGGGAGGCTGAGGCAGGAGGATCACCTAAGCCCAGGAGGTGGAGGTTACAGTGAGCAGAGATTGAGCTACTGTACTCCAGCCTGGGCAACAGAGTGAGGCCCTGCTTTAAAAAAAAAAAAAAAAAAGAGATGGGGTCTCATTTTGTCATCCAGGCAGAGGTACAGCGGCATGGTCACAGCTCACTGCAGCCTCCGCCTCCTGGGCTTGAGTGATCCTCCAGCCTCAGACTCCTGTGTAGCTGGGACTATAAGTGCCCACCACTACCATGTCTGGCTAATTTTTAGAAAAAACTTTTTGGTTTATGGCCATACCACCCTAAACATGCCCGGTCTTGTCTGATTGCACAATCTAAGCAGGGTTGGGCCTGATTAGTACTTGGATGGGAGAAAAAACCTTTTGCAGAGACAAGGTCTCACTATGTTGCCCAGGTTGGTCTCAAACTCCTGGACTCAAGCAATCCTCCCACTTAGGCCTCCCAAACTGCCGGGATGAGCGGCATGAGCCACCTCACCTGGCCAATCAATGTGTCTTTTTCTTTTTGAGGCAGAGTCTTGCTCTGTCACCTAGCCCGGAGTGCAGAGGTTCGATCTCAACTCACTGCAGCCTCTGCCTCCTGGGCTGAAGCAATTCTCCCACCTCAGCCTCCCAAGTAGCTGGGGCTACAGGCATGCACCACCATGCCCAGCTAAGTTGTCGATTTTTAGTTGAGACGGGGTTTCACCATGTTGTCCAGTCTGGTCTCAAACTCCTGATCTCAAGTGATCTGCCTGTCTCGGCTTCTCAAAGGGATGGGATTACAGCCATGAGCCGCGACACCCAGACCAATCAGTGTTTCTTTTTTCTTTTTTGTTTTTTGAGATGGAGTTTCATTCTTGTTGACCAGGCTGGAGTACAATGGTGCAATCTCAGCTCACCACAACCTCCGCCTCCTGCGTTCAAGCGATTTTCCTGCCTCAGCCTCCCGAGTAGCTGGGATTACAGGCATGTGCCACCACGCCCGGCTAATTTTGTATTTTTAGTAGAGACAGGTTTTCTCTATGTTGATCAGGCTGGTCTCAAACTCCCGACCTCAGGTGACCCGCCCGCCTCAGCTTCCCAAAGTGTTGGGATTACAGGCATGAGCCACCGTGCCCAGCCCTGATCAGTGTTTCTTAATTGGGTGCACATCATAGTCACCCAGGAGTACTTTCTCCCAAGTCCCATCACACACCTTAATCAGAACCATCATGCCAAGCGGCCCCTCAGGTGCCTGATGAAAGGTTCTGTATGCCCTGCAGGTGCAGCCAGAACGGAGGGGCTCCAGCCAGTCTCTGGCAGTGCTTGCCCGCCTCACCCCTGGCAGTCACACGTTACCCCTCCGTTACCCAGGAAGCCCTCATGATCTCTAGCTGACCTCATATACTCATTTCTGCTATGGTAGAGCCCCGCCTCCACAGAGCACCTGCAGGTTTTCCGGGGCCTCTTGGGGATGCCTGGCCCTGTTCATGGAGACCTCAGGCTCCCTGGGGAGGCAGCAGGGTGGAGAGGGATTATATTTTTCTAAGGTGGTCAGCCATCTATTGCATGCCCACTGACCACATCTATCTCTGCCTTTAAACAAATTTTTTATTTAAAATGTTTTTTCTTAGAGACAGGGTCCTGCTCCGTTGCCCAGGCTGGAGTGCAGTGTAATCATCGCTCACTGCAGCTCCAACTCCTGGTGTCTCTGCCTTTTTCTTTTTCTTTTTTTTTGAGATGGAGTCTTGCCCTATTGCCCAGGCTGGAGTGCAGGGGTACAACCTCAGCTCACGGCAACCTTCGCCTCCCGGGGATTCTCCTGCCTCAGCCTCCCGAGTAGCTGGGATTACAGATGCCCGTCACCATGCCCAGCTAATTTTTGTATTTTTAATAGAGACAGGGTTTCACTATGTTGGTCAGGCTGGTCTCAAACTGACCTTGTGATCCGCCCACCTCGACCTCCCAACGTGCTGGGATTACAGGTGTGAGCCACCACGCCTGGCTCTGCCTTTTTCGAAAGGAACGCTCTCTAGTCCCCACAGGGCAAAAGGGTGGCTTCTTCAGCCTCTGACTCACCTGGCACCTTGGCATCATTGCAGACTTCTGCAAAGGGTCTGAAAAAGAAAGAAATGAGGTGGCAGTTAGAAAATGAGCTTTTTTCCTCTTTTTTTTTGAGATAGAATCTAGCTTTGTTGACCAGGCCAGAGTGCAATGGTGCAATCTCAGTTCACTGCAGTCTCCACCTCCTGGGTTCAGGTGATTCTTGTGCCTCAGCCTCTTGAGTAGCTGGGATTACAGATGTGTACCACCACGCTCAGCTAATTTTTGCATTTTTAGTAGAGACAGGGTTTCACCATGTTGGCCAGGCTGGTCTCGAACTTCTGACCTCAGGTGATCTGCCCACCTCCGCCTCCCAAAGTGCTGGGATTACAGGCGTGAGCCACTGCGTCGGGCTGTTTTTTCCTCCTTATCACCTGTTCCCTGAGATACGATGCTGCTGCTGCTGCTGCTGGGGAGCCTGGGAAGACCCAAATAAAAATGGGGAGCACACCCTCCCGACAGCATCCGCCACGTAGGCCTTGGACAATGGGTCTGGCCCGGAAAATCTTTCCTCTGGGTCTGCAGTCCTTATGTATAAAGCGAGGGTGCTGTCTGACCAAGTGATCAGAAATGTGTGTCTAGATGTATGCAAGTGGATATTCATCACAGCATCATCATTATTATTATTTGTTTTTTGTTTGTTTATTTTGAGAGGGAGTCTTGCTCTGTCACCCAGACTGGAGTGCAGTGGTGCGATCTTGGCTCTCTGCAACCTCCACCTCCTGGTTCAAGTGATTTTCCCACCTCAGCCTCCTGAGTAGCTAGGACTACAGGCATGTGCCACTACGCCCAGTTAACTTTTGTATTTTTAGTAGAGATGGGGTTTCTTGGCCAGGATGGTCTCGATCTCCTGACCTCATGATCTGCCTGCCTCGACTTCCCAAAGTGCTAGGATTATAGGTGTGGGTATAAATATTTATATTTAAACATTAATATTTAAATATAAACATATTTACAAAGATATTTATAAATAAAAGCTTATAAATATAAACATTTATATTTAAATATGTTAAAAATAAGAACTGTACAGTCAGAAAAAGTCAAATTTAATTAAAACATGTTTTGTTTTTGTTTTTTCCCCAGAGAACAAATTTAATACCTAAAAAAAAACCTCTAAAAATGGCCAGGCACAGTGGCTCACGCCTGTAATCCCAGCACTTTGGGAGGCCAAGCCGGGCAGATCACCTGAGGTCGGGAGTTCGAGACCAGCCTGACTAACATGGAGAAAC